ATCCAAAAGAGTCAATTATCTTCTCCAGAGTCACTTATCTACTTTGAAAAATCAATTATTTACCAAGTTATCTGCTCAAGTACTATGGTTGTGTGATTACGTCAAGAGGTTACGTGGCGGCGAAAGTGTTAAAAATTACGATACAGTTTTCGAAACGATTTGTACAAATACCGCAACAAATCCCTTATTAGTTTCGTTACTCCTACACGACTTTCCGCACTTCCTAGCTAAAAGGCGAGACGGTCCCATTAGTTTTTTTTTCCTCGCTTTATTATTTATCGACGGAAGAAAGGACGGAGTGTTTGTCCAAAATTTTAGCTCCTTCGTCGGGTTTTTAAATAATTAACGGCAAGCGAATCGATGCGTGCGAGAGTAAAAGCGAAGTGGACGCGTAGGCGTAACGGTGCGACTAATAAATACGTCAATATTGAGAAAAATATCGCCTCCCACGCGGAGTTTACACAATACCGATAGCGATAGAGAGAGAGAGGTTCGTTTGGAACGCTCAAACTTTACCAAGCTTTTGCCGTAAACGTTTGTTTAGGCGGTTTTGGTGCGTGTGGTCAACGAATTTTAATTACAGGCTCAATTTTCAAGTAACTAAAAATAGTTCCAAATATGAAGACATATTGCAAAATTTGGCGGATGCGAAAGGGTACATTAGAAAATCCATCCACTTCCAATATTTGCTCGATTAATCAGATATTAAATTCCTAAATAACTACGACAGAGTATTTAATTGTAAATCCTCTTCGAACGGGTATACTCATAATAATCCTTAGGAAGTAATAAACCCCTTAACAATCATCAACTTTATAATACGCAACAATAATATGCGGCTTAATTAATTCGTAAAGCCAGGTAGAGAGGCAGATTTCAGCGCCGGATGATGTACCGAGGCATTAAAATAATTTACAATACACCGTAACGAGTCGAGTTCTATAATAAACTTCGGGTGGGTGAACAATTAATATCAAACTATTTTCGACGCGTCATCGATATGCGCCCGTTATTCCCGGTTTCAATTTAGGCGGGCAATTGGCCGTTGAGAGAGGATTAATAACGGGGTCGGCGCGGGTAATTCTCCGGAACAGCGAAAACAAGAATCCCGCCGAGCTTGATCTATTTTCAATGGGCTTACGCGGATGTGGGTGTCGCGGAATGAGGCCCGGATTTAGCATCGATATATACAAGAATCGATCTGTTTGGAGGAGAGTTTTTTGCGGGAAGGAATTCGAATCCGAAAGAAACGAGCGACGTTAATCCTCGTTTTTCGTTTCATCAATATAACAGTCACAACTCGGAATTACTTACGATCGAGCGATCCTCGATCACAATAAATCGTCGTTTTGCCGTACGATTACCTGCCTTGGCGCTACACTTTCCAGTTAATTAACCATCAACTGCTAATTATTGCAGTCAAACGCCACGTATTAATGCCTCGCCGGGCTGATGTATGGAACACTCTGCGACTAGGATATTAATAAGGCTACCTGTAGGTCCGCTCTGTTTTATACAGCTGGATTTCAATCAATTTCATTACAAATAAATCACTTCATTGCTTCGTATAGATACATAAACACATCAAAAATGCATACAAGAAGACCCCATTTAATCCACTATACACTTTAATCCAGCATAACACGTTCAGGTAACATAAATTTTTGTAATAAAAAAAAGATTGCCTTATAATTAGACTATCGAAACTGAAATTATACCGTGCATACGTCAAACGGTAGTTACCGACTACTGTTTATAGCCTTTTTTTTCGGACGATTTTAATGCTTTAATTAAACGCTGGTGCAATAGAAATCGAGCTGGGAGCATTATAGTTGAGGAATGCAGATAAAAATCTCTACATCGGAATAACTATGATGTAGATGTGGCGTAGATTAGCGGACAAATGGATCTCTCTGTCGGTGTATCGAGCACAAATTTGTATCGGAAAATCCGTCGAGAAAAGAAAATAATGTGCACCGAAAGAATGTTGTAGAGCTATTGCTATCGATAGGTCAAAGTGTGTGGCCGCAAGAATAAAACGCGGAGTTAAATAAACTAATTAATCGTCGGAATTAAAAAATACCCGTTGGAATAATTTGAATTTTTTTGTCGAAAAATACTTGCGACATTTGTGTGGTGTAACTTAATGGATTTTTGTAACGAATATAAATCGTTTCTTTTTTTTAAGCGAATAACCCGTGGGCGCGTTGTGTTACAACAATAAAAATCCGAAAAGAAAATGTATTTAGTGCGGAATCCGATACAAAAGATCAGAAAATCTTGGCAAGGCGACCCGGGTGTGTCGTGGAAAAAATTAGGCTAATTAAAAAGATACGGGCGATTATGCATTTACACATTCGAAATCTGATATGCGTATACAGATAATATTTCGTATACGTATAAATAATTCATAGTTATTAATATAAAACAAATATTTGGTTAAAAGCAGAACCTGTTTCGACTAATCCCAGATCCCTTTAAACGCCGATTTATGCGCAATATTTTATTTGGTCACCTTGAGTTTATTTCTTTATTAATTCCTCTTCCAATATGGCAAGAAATTGATAAATCTTACCGTTAATTTAGAGAAAATATTATTCAGTCAATTTGTGGCTAACGATATACATAACATCGAGTTTAACAGTTTATTTTTTTGCATAAATTTTTACTTATATCATTAATAATGTTTATTTATGCACGGCGGGTATTCAAATGGTGAGAAAACCGAAATGCCGGGAGTATTGTGTTTCATATTTTTTTTACAAAGAGTAGGTGTCTTAATGAGAATGTTTAATTATGTTAATAGACAATTTTAACTAAATTAAGGATTTCTTCTCGATAAAACAAGTTATAAAAAATATACTATTTACGTCGAAGATGTGAATCGCAAGGTGTTTAGATTTTTTTATGCATTTCACAATGTTCGTTATAAAACCGTGTATACAGGATTGAATTGGGACATACCGTATAATAAAACCCCATTTTTAATTACATAAGAATTACCCGGCGCGTAATTACACTATATTTCAAATATTAAAATAATTACAGCGTTGAAAATAATCCGCCTTTAATGTTTGTAGGTAGTCGTACGAAAACCTGTTATACATATCACGCAATGTCTGCTTCTTACCCATAAAATATATTAATAAAAAAACAACGAAAAAACGCCGTAATTTCGTTCGAGATATTTCCATTACATTTTCGAAACAAAAAATGGAAGTTAATCGATAAAAAAGTATTAGGTATCTACTCGAATGGTAATTTGTAATTTACCTAAAACCAACAAATTTTTGGTTGTAATTTCATTAAGAGACAGGGAATGTAATTATAAGACTAAATTAACGATTTAACGTGAAAAAATTCGGGTTCTCATCGAAGAGATGTGAGAATTTTCGTTTCGATTCGACTAAACCAGTCCAAACATTTCTACTATTAGTGTCGTCGTTTGCATTAATAATGCGTTTTTGGTCGATTAAAAAAGTCCGATAAATCCTGGCTGATGTGGAAAGTGGACGTTTATTTTAATCGGAAATATAAAGAAAATTTAATAGAACGTTTGGGAATTGTATACCTACAAAAAATTATTGGTAACCTACTTTAATATTTCCAATATTCTGTTACATTTAGTAGGCGGTTTTATTTTTCTCTATAAAATACGTACTCTAATCATTATTTTATTGGCATACATTTTACCTGCAATTACCGTTCAATTATTCGCGAATGTAGTAAATAGAATAAATATCAATTAGGTAATGTTAGTTTATGTTTTTCGACGTTTATTATAGTTCGATAATTGGTTTAATTATAAGTTCGCAGAAAGCAAATCAGGGACACTCACTCCAATATAAACAAATTATTCAATTTGTTTGATTTATAAACGAATTTTTAATATCTACATAATATACAGGTCATTAGATTTATGGAAGTAAAATGAGCGCAAACTTAATGTTAATTTATTATTTATAATGTTCTGATAAATTTCAGTTATTAATTGATAATATTATATGAATTTATTTTTGTATGTGGGTTAAGTAGGTATCGATTTGATTTTATTTTAGTACTTTAGGTTACTTGGTAGAGTTTTCAAGTAACTACAGGTAGGTACTTAAATATTATATAATCAGATTTAATGTTTATTTTAGATACAAAGTTAGTTATTAAATTGTGTAAAGTATGGTGTAGTTTTCAGTTAGGTAGGTAAGTACCTGAAAGTACTCGAATCGTGTAATCAGTTTTAATGTTTATTTTAAACCGATAATTTCATATAGAAATATTAAAATCAAACAAACTTTAGCGATAATATTTACATAGTCTAATATAAAATTGATTTTTTGGGAAAATGGAAAATGGAAAATGTTACATAAAATTTGATTATGGTACGACAGTATAAAAAACACACATCAGTATACATGATTAACATGAATATGTTTCTAATCGCATAATCTGTTTATAATCTACGATAAACTTATAATTGGATTGTTCATTTGGTTTAATTAAGCCAGTATAGTTTATTTGCATTCATTTAAATAATATTATAGAAGTTATAATAGATACCTACCTATTTAGATAAAAAGAGTATCTTGATGTTTCTCGTTAATAATTAAGTAATAATAAAATGATATTTGAGTGAAATAAAGTTATTTTTGACTGTACCTTACTAAATTTTGAAAGTTACCATGATTAATACGCACCGAATCACAGCAAAATGCCAACTGTTTAAGCAAAAAAAGGAGATAAATTTGTTTGAATATGATAGATTATACTGCCATATTTCTGGACAAAATGGAGTCTTTTACATTTGGCAAACATTAAATTTTACTTTAAAATTAATTCAAAAAATGTATTTTTTTAATTTAAAATTTTATTAAATAATCGGATAATTAATATGTTGATAAAAATATTGTGTAAGAAGAGCAATTCATTTATTAAATAATTTAAATTTGTAGTAGTAAGTAGTAAAAATGTATGAATTAAATTTATCTTAAAACTATAAAACTTACCGGAACAATTCGAACAAACCGACGAAACAAACAACCCAACAACAAAATCCATAAAAAATCACAACCAACAAATAACGCAAATGACAATCAATCGATACAAAGATAATAAACCCAATTCGAAAAATAAAAATAAACAAACCACACAAACCGATCGAGCGGTGTCACATCACCCGGAAGAAAAAAATCCGCCGCGACGTTTGCACGTTGCCAGAGAGCCAAGCAGAAGAAGAGCGCGCGCCACGCCGACCACCGCTCGCAACAGTTGGTTTTCGACTGCGGGCTCCGCGGGAGTCGACGAGCCACGGAGGTGGTGTTGGGGGCCCCGGCGTCGGTGATTCGTCCGGGCCGGCTCTGCCTCCGCGCCCGTTCGCCGACCCCCTCCTCCCACTGCGCCGCGGCCGGTGATTCGGAGACGAACCGCTGCCGCTCCGCTGCTCTTTCGCTCGTGCCGCTGCCGCAGGCACCTGGACTCCTGGTCTTCCCGCTACTTCCTTCCTTCCTTCCACCTTCCGAAACGCTAACTTACTTCCAGGCTGCTATACACGATTCACAAGTTTCGCGAAGGGTCGATTAGAGATCGAGAAGGTTTGCGGTACTGATTGAAAAGTAGAGAGAATGGTGAGAACGAGAAGTTTTTCTATTATCCTTCACAATCTTGAAAAACGTTATGAAACTACTTTCTTTTGAAGATATGAAGCATATCAAGTAGAGCAAAGTAGATAGATTAACCCAGGATAACAAGGATTCCTATTAGTTTCCTTTGAAATCTTGTAAAATGTTACGAAACTATCATATACCAAATAGAGTACCTAAAGTAGAAGAAATGAGACTAACAAAGATTCTTATTATTGTCAAAAGATTATTAAACAATAACAATAATTTTATTGTGGTGAGATGAAACAACTAAATTCCAAGATTATCTACAAAAGGGTTTAAGTACTCATTCATCATGAATTACCAAGAATTAATGGACTGTAATTGTTAAAGTATAACTACATTATTCAAAACGAAAACTATATTAAAGAAGATAGATAATCAGGATAAGTAGATTCTCATTATCATTAATAGGAATCCTTCAGAAACACATAAAAGATTATGAAACTATAACAATCATTTTCTTGAGGATAAGATTGAAACACATCTTCAAGGAATTTAAGGACAGTTTCCCAAATAACTCGTTAAATTCTAATAATCTTTCAATTCTTAGCAAGAATTCTATCAAGCACTATAAAAATTATCTGCAACATTTTCAACTTTTCTTATACCTTTCCATCCAATAAATAGTATATTTTTTTTATTAACAACCAATCTTCGAATCGAGCCAACGAACCAACAAATAAAAGACCATAGTGATTTGTTTAACAACAAAAATATGGCTATACAACCCAATTAATTAACTCGGGCTAGTTTCCTATCGGGGCCTTTTGTTGTCCGATCGATCTTCGAATCGGTTATGTACCGTATGAAAGAAAGCATTCGAATTGTTCGGGAGATGAATGATATCTTCATTCGGCCGGATAGAATCGATGTTTAACTGGAAATTGTAATGGTGATTTGATTCATATTGGTGCTTGAATTTCGAAAAATAATCCGTAGTATTTAAAACTTATAATTGTTGTAGGTGAGTAGTTATATTAGTACTATCGTTTTTTGTAAATTGTTGTAAGAGTTACAAATTAAAAGAGCTGTTGGAAAATGGAGCGTAACGATAAATAGATTAAACTAATTATCTTTAAATGGAGTTTGAGGTTCATGAGAGCTTTTTCAATATCGCCTTTCGACCGCATTATTCTATTTACTATCTGATTGTTATACGTATGTCTGTAGTTCGAATTCGTTATTACTGGTTTACTTTTTTTGGGTTATCAACATTTTGCTGCGTTACCTTTTCTGATTAAGTGCATCTGTCATCTTTGATGCGGGTACCGTTTAAGGGGAGTGTAAGTTTTTCATCCCTCGAAGAAATGCGATTGCCATTGTGTTCGTTTTAGGCTATTTGTGCGTATGAAGAACGTTACATTCGACGTTAGATTCAAATCGGTTTATATTTTTATGCCCATTCATCGGCCCACAAACACCCTCACTTGTAATACAATTCCTTTTTTTTTCGGGCTTAACGTCTCGAGTTATTTACTCGACGGTTTGAATTTAACCGTTATTTCTGGGTCAAATCGGAAGACGGATCAATCAATTCGAATAAATTAATTCGTCCGATTTACAAATTTAGAACAAACTACTTAATTAATGAACTTACGCGTAACATAACTTCTAACATATTAATTAATAAAAGCCACGATTTAATAAAGGAAACAATCCATCAGTTGACTTTTTTCCTACCGGCTAAAACAAATAACAATATATTTTCCCAACGGATACCATTAATAATCGCCGAAAGAAATGGACTCGAAACTCCATTTCGGCAATATACCGCGTCGATAAAAAAAAACTCAAATATTACTTAATCATCGTCCGCTCTAAATAAGACCGTTGTTCTAATACGAGGTAATTGCCACGTTCGAACCGCACCCGAATATTATGATACACACTAATCCGGACTATTTAATTCCCAATACACGAACCGGTCACAGAAGCGGCCGATCTAAATTACCGCCGCAGTACCAGCAACAAATCAAAAGGATTTTTTAACTGCAGGAGCTTCTGAGGAACAACAAATTTAAGCAGATAGTTTGTACCAAATTAGTACTAAGTTTTACTTAGTAGATACGAAATGGATTGAATGGGGAATAAAATGTAGGTATTTTGAGCAGTTTGGTGCATTTTTAATATCTAAATTTTACCACATTTGCTCCTCTTACTTATAGTGGTGACACTGGCTGATTATAATGGGCATCAATTCGTAAAACCTACTTGAATCCGGTACGAATCGAGCCGTAGTCGGAGCGTTCGTGTCGGTTCCCACACGAAGCCCTTTTAAAGGTGGAAAATATATTGGATTTTGATGCGTTTTATATTTTAGACAACATGTAAATGCGTGTTTCGAAGGCGTCTCGCGGCGACGGAGTCGTGTTTGGGCATCGAGAGCAGCGGGCGGCGCTGCGGCGTCGCATTTTTTCCGAACCTAAACGATTCCGTAGGGTAACTTTCAGAAGATGGGATAACGCAAGAAACCGATCGATTGGCCTTCGTCCAATGTTCGCGTATATACGACTAAGTGCGCGTTATTTATTAGTTTACGTGACTGCTGGTCGAAATTAAGTCAGGCATAAAGTCTTTTAAAAGATCTCTCGCGGAGCTGAACGCAAAGAGTAAAGTACGCGCGGCGCAGCTGTTATAAATATTTCACTTCATTATTCGAAAGAGATAAAAGGAGCGGAATAAATATTGATTAAAACCCGCTTTTAATACGGCGTCACGTCGTCATTAAAACGAGATGAGGAGAAAAATAAAGGATCGGTAACGCGTAAACGGACAAGCACCGTTCGCAAATTCGCCTTGTACACTAATACAGGGGGGGGTTAAAAACGGCATGATAAACGGCGCTGAGATCACGCGAAGGCGATGTAAATCAGGGCAGTAAGTGAAGTCTCGAGGTGCACAACACGCGGCGATTTCGCGGACAGGTGACAATTAAGAACCCCGCGGTCGCGGACCGTAAAGAAGCTCCCGGGAGATATGCGGCTCTCGCATAAATGCACGCAATCTACCAGAAATGACGTTGCTATTTAATATGTAACTTCTAACCGGAGACGTCCATCTGCAACAATTGTTATCGAGCGTGACGTGACTAGACACGTTTCGGAATCGCGGGAAAGTCTTCCGTTGAAAAAAATAACACAAAAGTTGTGCAAACAAAGTTCGAAAGATGATCGAAAGGTCCCGCATTCCCTTCGAATAGGGGGCACGTGGATACGTTACCACGCATCGGGTGGAACACCCGAAGAAAGGTAACTCAGTAATACCTAAAAGCACTTTGCGATGCTAACGATAAATGGTTTTGAGTTTCTTCTATTCGACCGATTTGGCCGAGGAAGATTAACGTCTTTGTAAAAAAATATACAAGCCGGTGGGTTTTGTAAGATTGTCCAACGTCTTGTATAGGTAAACATTGACGTAATAATAGGAAGGCATTCCGTAAACAAGGGTGCTAAATGCCCATCACTAACTGACCGGTGGTCGAATCCCAATGATCCCATTCCATAGAAAACGCCAGGGGTGTATTTAGAATTATTTAATCCATAAATTAAGATACAAATTGTAGGTTTGATTTTTTATATAATTGTAGAATACATGCAAGAAAATTTCCTGAAATATGCTAATATAGAAATGCTCATCAGTTTGCATATAATGCGAGCTTTATCATCAATAACATGGAATTCGTATGATCAGTAATAAAAATCTCATGGAATCCCATCCTGGATTGGCTACGACCCGACGCTAATTCGATCCCATATAAGAAAAAGAGCCATATCGATGAATAGATTCGAAACATCGCCCAGCTGTGGAACGGTGGAATTCACCGGGAGACCGTCCGCGGCACTCCCGCTGGCCGACTGCATATCTTGAATACGTTTCGGCATCCTACAACTGCTCTTTTCCTACATCGCAAGACGCGAGTCGCTCAAAGGGACGAACCGGGGGAGCCCATTGTGGGCTTTTCTAAAGATTGTAGGCACGCGCGTAAACTCGGAAAAAAATAATTTACGACTCGCAGAACATATGTTTTGAGGTATACGCCGAGTTAGCTGGAAACGTCGACGTACTTGGGCGGAAAATCGTTTCCACGTTTCCTATATATGCGAATTTTTACTGATGCTTTTATGGTTTTATGGTCGATTCCTGCAATATTCATTTTACTTACTTATAAAGCTCGAATGCTTAATGAATCTTTAATTACATAGGAAATGATGCTTAATACGAATGGCAGTGGTAAATTGGGCGTTAGAATATTTCTTGAAGTCATTGAAGTAATCAAATGCAGTACAATGAAAAAATTTACACTCTAGGACATGGTATAGAGTAGAGCAGTTTTAAGAGCAATTTGTACATCACTCCGCTTGCGAATGCATAATTTCAGTGCTTCGGGGTAATTTTCAGAAGTGGTATAAACCTAATTAACTCCAACAAATACCTATAGATTTTCATGAATGGTTATTGCCCGCGACTACTTTAACGGTAGTCGGCAGGAGCGCCTCCACCTGAGGCCGGTGCGCGTCCATCCCGCGACCGGCCGGCCTTCGTTTTCTGCGTATAACCTCCGTGTATACGCGTTACGCCCGTAACGAGCGATCGTTGGTAGCCCGAAACGTGATTGCGCTGACCCAAAGCTCTGAGGTCGAATAGCGCTTTCGACA